TTTCGGTTTGTGTGGTGAGCTATTAGGTCGTCACTATAGGAATAGGAGCAGCGTGAAAGGAGGCATGATTTCGGATGTCCTCAACGTTGTATTGTCCCATTGATGGTATTGCGGGTTGTAATGCTCAAATGTTTTTTTTTTTTTGGTTCATAAGCCCAAGACTAAAGGTTCACTTATGTTCCAGTTTTCATCGACTTTTCGCTTTACCGCTTTTGTGTCATGGGAAACACTGCTTAGCCATTTATTGGAGCAACATAGCACAATAAAATGGGCGGCTTCCGTGGTGTTGAAACCCTTATGAAAAGCCTAGAAACAATAGTTGTAGAGCAGCTGTTGGCAGGTTGTTCAGAGGCTTAACATTATGTGGGACCAGTGGAAAGGAAGCAATTAGAAGAGCAGCACTCAGGGAGTGATTTCATAGACCTATCCACACTGTAGCTGAAGTAATGTAAGTAACCCCTCAAATGCTGAATTGAATCCAGATCAGAAAGGTTGGGCCTTTCATGTTTCTCTATACGAAGGGGCTGGATCTCTTTATGTACGCTTGCATTCGATGGCGAAAATCTCCGTAAGTTCGAAAAGTATTGACTCGTGTATTGTCTGGCCCTCACGGCTTCGCGTTTTTCCAGCACCCTTTCACAAGTAACTCCTCTAGGGGATGTAAATGAGGGAGAAGTGCGTTGCGCGTCGCGTTCAAAATTTACTTCGGTAGTCGACCCACGAGCAAGGATTCAGCAGCTGTGTTTGCTGTAGTTATGACTAATGGACTGACCCTTGAATCACAGAATGCATTTCTATACCGAAATCTAGTGAATGACTTATTTTAACATAGCACCCACTTTTCCGACTTTCGAAAAGGCGAAAAGGAATACTAATTAAAGTTGAAGATAGTCAGTTAAAAGGAGGGCAAGTTCTCGAGAAATTTGTTTCAAACAACTAACTCGAGCTTATGGAATCGTTTGAGCTCCCACAAGATGAGTCAAGTCTAGGGGCAATAGATGCGTAAGTCATTTTTACATTGACTGTTTTAGAAAAATGCACAAAAAGTGTGATTTCCAAGGAGAGAGTTGAACTTATTAGTAGTTTTCAGAAATTAGCAGTGTTTTTCTTGGCCCACTTTGTGTATAGTGTTATTTGGTGTTTGCAAACCCATTAAATACAAAAAACACCAAGAAAAACTAAAAACCGAGAAAAACAACCGATGAAAGGGATGCGGTCCAGCGTTGAGCCGCGCTGTCGTCAAAGGGTTAAAAAGCGGTTGATCGACGTCATGCGTTGAATAGGTCTTTCATCGCTGACTTTCAAATCGTTAGAAGGGAATCCCTCTAACAAAGCTGCGACGTAGACCATCCCCACTTTTGCCAGTTTTTCATTATCTTGCGTATGCTCAACTTCAACATTCGTCGTCCAGGTTTGACGTTTTCCCATAAAATGCCGGAGGTTACACAATTCCGAAAGGTACTTCACACTGGCAAGTGAGAACATATAATGCGCATCGTTCTGGGCCGCAAAACCCACTTGTACTATGATGTTGTTAATGCTCAATCCTCCCCACTATACCACTTTTTGCAACCGCAATAGTTGAGAGATCTTCAAGTGGTACGCTAACTCTTAAAGAGTGGGTTTGATTGTGCTGAGGGAGCTTTTCCTCGGTAAAAGAAGAGCATAATGGTTAAGTGGTCCTAATAGTATGTTAATTTTACTGATGTGTCGCATTTTCTTATCGGCTCCCTTATCGCAACTGCTCTTGTGGGCGGGCAGAATGGTTGAGCTACAGAACAGACAAAACTGTAGGATATATGTATGGGTGTTACTTACGTGAAGTGGTGTTAGTTTAATGCATTCCTTCTTCGGTGTTCATTTCTTAGCTGTCTTAATCCTGTAGTAATCCAAGCCGTCCTTCGTTATTTTTTACACTTTGTCTAATATTCTAATCAGACAGACACCCCATATTTTCCCGTCCATTTTCACCTTACACAATTGCATACCTGCTTCATTTGCTTGATTTTTTTCAATTAAAGTAATTGGTAAAGGAAAGTTGCTATCCGATTTCGGAAAAAGGTCAAATTCTCTAGAGAAAGGAACAGGGACTGTCAAGTCGCAGAGTCGCTCCAGATTTGTGCCGAAGACACGCAGTTGTTGACAATTTCATCAGGAATCCTGTAGAATATGGGACCAAGCTAAGTACGGGGTATCCTTCGTTGCTTTCGGAAAAGACAAACGACGGATTTTGAGAGAAGCGTCGAATAGACTAAGTCATGTACGGAAATCAGGTCCTCTTTGAAGCTCAATTTCTCGAGCACTACTGTTTGGAAAATGATAAATAAGTCGGAGCGTAT